GGCCACATCGGGTGTCGGTCTGCCTCGGGCCGAGCTTCCCAGGTGTCGGGACTGCCAGACAAAGGTCTGTGGCTGCCCGCAGGGCCCACCCCGGAGCGCCTGCGGTGGCGAGAAGCCGTACGCCTGCGCGGAGTGCGGGAAGGTCTTCAGGCTGTGCTCGCAGCTCAGTCAGCATCAGAGGATCCACACCGGGGAGAAGCCGTTCAAGTGCGGCGAGTGTGGCAAGGCCTTCCGCCTGAGCTCCAAGCTCATCCAGCACCAGCGCGTGCACACGGGCGAGAAGCCCTACCGGTGCTCCGAGTGCGGCAAGGCCTTCGGCCAGAGCTCCAGCCTCATCCACCACCAGCGCGTGCACACGGGGGAGCGGCCCTACGGCTGCCCCGAGTGCGGCAAGGCCTTCAGCCAGCAGTCCCAGCTGGTCAGGCACCAGCGGACGCACACGGGCGAGCGGCCCTACCTGTGCCAGGAGTGCGGCAAGGCCTTCAGCCAGAGCTCGGCGCTAGCGCAGCACCAGCGGGTGCACGCGGGGGAGCCCCCGCCGGGCCCCAGGCCCCTGGGCGGTGCCGGCCTGGCCACGCGGCCGGGCGTGCGTGCCGCTGAGAAGCCGTTCCGGTGCGACGAGTGTGGAAAGGCGTTTCGGTGGGTCTCCCGCCTCAGTCAGCACCGGCTGACACACACCGGCGAGAAGCCGTACAAGTGCAACAAGTGCGCCAAGGCCTTTGGGTGCAGCTCGCGGCTCATCCGCCATCAGAGGACTCACACCGGGGAGAAGCCGTTCAAGTGCGACGAGTGCGGCAAGGGCTTCGTGCAGGGCTCACACCTGATCCAGCACCGGCGCATCCACACGGGTGAGAAGCCGTACGCGTGCGCCGACTGCGGCAAGGCCTTCAGCCAGAGCTCCAGCCTCATCTACCACCAGCGCATCCACCGCGGGGAGCGGCCGTACGGCTGTGCCGAGTGCGGCAAGGCCTTCAGCATGAGCACTCAGCTCACCATCCACCAGCGCGTGCACACGGGCGAGCGGCCCTACAAGT